TTATGTTTTATTCACTCCGGATTATGTTATATTGCAACTCTTCTTTCTTTCCCCTTTATTTAATTAGTTTTTGTCATATTTTCATTTATTATATATATATATATTTGTGTATTTTGATAAGAAAATTTTCGGTTCTGTTCCTAAAGGAACGAAAAATAAAATTAAGTATTTTTGAGGATTTCCTTGGTACAGTGAAGGTCGAAGTCAGATCTTGATCCATGATTATGCTAAGATATGAAATATGCGAGATCCGTTTGTCTGATTATGATTATGTTACCATTAATTAAAAGATTAGGGCATAACTATTCCTAAGCAGTAAAAATAAGCGATAAAGTTACATAAATTTCGCTTTTTATGAAATACCTTTAAGCAATTGAAATTTCCCTTACAATTCTCATTTCGTTACTTTAATTAAATATTGTGCAAGTAAAATTTAAAATTATTCTTATCTAATCGCTAAACTTTGTTTTAGCTTATGACTCCTGCATTTCCTCCTTCACAATATTGAATGATATATATTTAAAAAAATTTTTTAAAGAGGGATGGGTAAACTATTCAGTGAAATTGGAAAATGAGATCTTCGTGTCGATATAAATAAAAACTGAATGGTTCTGGCAAATAAGTTACGATAACGAGTGGAATGAATCTTTTTATTTATCATTTGTACATTTGTCTTTTTCATTGAAAAATGCTTATTTTTTGTATTTTTTCGGCAGAGATCCGTTTAAAAATATTTATTATATTTTTTAAAATAGAAATCGTCGAAATTTTTTCACTATAAATTAAAAAAAATAAAGATTTTTATTTAAAGTTTTGCTTTTTAAATTTCCTTATTCATAAAATATATAACATAAAATATAATAAATGGTAATTCCTATTCTTATTTAACTATATTAAAGATATCATCAAAAATACTAAATTTTATTTTTCGTTTTTTTAGAACAGAACCGAAGGTTTTCTTATCAAAATACATAAATATATATAAAAAAAGAAAATGTGACAGAAACTAATAAAATAAAGGGGAAACAAAGAAGAAATATCAAAATAATACAATCCAAAGTGAATAATGCATTATCGAATGGTAAAAATGAAGATTTCAAACATATATGAACCTTTTAATAAATGACATTATCGAATCTTTTTTTTTTTTTAAATGGCTAAAAAGACGCACAAACTACATCGTTCGGTTATTTATTGCAGTAATTATTAGTACGAATAAAGAAGTCTTGAGAACTTTGCTTAGTTTTGCAGAAAAGCTTTAGCATTTTATATAACAAAGTCAGCCCTTTAAATATTTGCTCATCTTTTTAATCACTATATCATTATATATCACTAGTCGATTATCAAAATTTAAAAAAGAAACTGATAAAATGGGATTCAAGTGTGTTGTGTGTTGTTGCCATTCTTGCATTACCATTTTTCAAGATTTTCTTATCAAGGTGTCCTTGATGAAAATTTTGATATAACGACAGAAAACCATTTTATTCTCACGTGATTGCTTGTCGATGGACGTGAGTTAAGTAGAAATAATTGTTGGCGTTAGAAAAAATAAATTAGAATTTATTAGTTGCTAGAAAATAATAAATTTCAAGCATTGTCCATTTCTAAATAAATAAATTCATTTTGTTTGATCAGATGGATCCGATGGAATAAATTTAACTATAGCAGATGATAAACATAATAAATTAATGAAATCGACCGTAGCTTTATATTTGATCGTGGCAGATAGTCGATCTTTTCGATGTTTGTCTATGCTTGGGAAAAACATGGGTTGTTTGCTATTTTTATGCATTCGCCTAAATATAGTGGGGTGCTTGGCCCCCATGCTTCTATTTAAAATCTCCTTCGTTGCGAAGAAACCAGCGAAACTGGAAATGATGAGTGGCATTGATGTCCTAAATAAATTAGTATATGTTATTACCCGTTAACATGTCATTACCTGTTTTATGAGCCACAGAATCCGCTCATTTTTCGTTCTTTCAGCTTAATTTTAGTTTTCTCCATTTTAACAGATAGACGACTGTTTAAATTCTACTTCTTTCCTATCATGCGCGTTTGCAACGGTTAAAAATTTTATGCATAGGGAAATGCTTTGAAAACTAGCTTAATCTGGTTTTCTTGATAGCACACTCAAAAAGCTTCTTATCTTGAACCCTGACTGATATAATAAGAATGAAAATATAGGTCCTGTTGAAAATCCACTAGGTTTTATCCTCCAGCGCCTCTCTGGCGAAAGCAATCATTCATTGTTCATTCTATTAGCACATTTAAACCAAAGATAATGACTATTATCAAAAGATAGTGAGGAATATTCATAACAATAACCATAAATTTCTATTCTAATTTAAAATATTTAACAAATTGTTTATTTAAATTGTTAAATTCAATATTTGTAATATAATTAATTATAATTTTTATGATTAATTATAAAAAAATAAATTGTTTATCTAATATCACTGCTTTCAGAAAATCGTGATTATGATTTTTGCAGATTTTTTAATTATTTTAATCGTATTGACAAGAATAACTGATGGAATAATTTGCAAAAACAAATGTATGTATTGCAATAATTAAATAATGTATTTATGTAATATATTTTATTTATTGTATTTTATTTAATTAGACCTATTTAAAAAAAGAAATTTTTTTTTTTTTTCATTGCAGTTCCCGATGAACAATGCGAGAAAATGGCTCAACACTGTAAACATAAAGAAGGAAGCGTTATGCAACTTGTAAGAAACTATTGTCCAACGTACTGTTATAAAAAATATTGTGAGCGACAAAATAGCGGCGCTCAAAACGGCAAATCTTTTTTCTTTGTTATTAAGATGAAAATAACTTTTTTTATAATCAAATATATAATTTTTTTGAATACAAATATCTCTAATATATTAATTTATGTGATACGAAATTTGACATTATTTTAAGGGAAATGGTTCTTAGATTCGTAAGAATTCATCATGGAAAGCCAATTTTTTAAATCATTCCTGCTTAGATTCACTCGTTTAGCACGAGTGGTTTTCGCCTGGAAATAGAACCACAAGGAAATCAGTAGAAGTGAGTCACCAGGTCACTCGGATTTGAATGACAAAACCATTCGCAGCAATACCGTAATCTAATATTGCAAAACATTGCTGCCTTTACGAATTTATTTAACACTTTGACAATTGAAATTTATCCTAGATGAGCGACAAGAATTGATTATCAATTTTTCCTTATCAATTTTTAATTGCAGAACCAGCAAGTGGCGCTTGAACAATTTGATCGAAAACATCAAAAAAAAGCAAAATTCTTCTATGAAACCTTCGAAATCTTTCGTATTTTGTGATACATTTCCTTTCTTTCCTTTGCAAAAGATATAATAAATAACCTTTTTTTTCGAATAGCATTTCGCCGTTTCCGATTCGACTCACTCTGTTGGCTTCGTTTGTCGGATCATATGAATTTTGCCAACAAACTTTGCACGAGCGAGTCGCGCATCGCTCGGATTTCTAAAAGATAGGTTCACTGCTAGTGAAAATGGCAAATAATTATTTCCATTGCTAGTATTGCCGATTAAAAAAATCAGACAATTTTTAGGAAAAAGTAAATCGATAAAAATTAGAATTTGTTAGAATTTTAAATAATAATAATATAATAATTATAAAAAGTTATAAAAAGTCAAATATACATTTAGCTAAAGTAAATAATGGCGAAAAATTTGTCGTACAAACATAGTACAAATGATTTTCTTTGTATGATTTTGGGTAGGTATATTCAGTAGCAATCCTCCTCTTTCTACAAACTATAAGGGGGGGAGAAGTTAGCCGAATGGATAGTAGCACATCGACTTCCTGCCGCCGGTATTTGTAAACCTATTGTTTATTCTACGAAAATGAAAAGCTAGATGATCAAAAGACTTTTAGCGCAATTTCATATAATCTCTGCAAAAATTCCTATTTTTATACTTATAGAAAGCGGTTACATTAAACATGAAGCGAAGGGACTCCTGGCTTCTTCCACCAACTTGGCCATCACTACAAACTCGATTCTAATCCATACAGTTCAAGTCTACTAGATCTCAGCTCGATCCCTCTCTTGACCCCTCTCTTCTCTTTGCACTTTGCTTTTCGTCAACCTTAATCTGAACTGAATCTGATCTGAACTACTTAAATTGAAATTCCTAGTTAAACCCTAATAATATTTACTATAACTGGATAATATCATCAACTGATTTGTTCTTCACCTTCTCTTTTCCTAGAAAATTTAAAAGGCCACATATGAATGATATTTACCTTAGATCATCGTAAATTTAATTTCGATTTGCTTATTTCTGTATTATTTGCGATCATTTCAACTAAATAATCTTTTATTGCTTAACTAATTACAAAAACAACGTTTTACTGCTTTGAAAAAGAAATACCCACACATATATATATAATGTACATATAATATCAATATCAATGTGATGTACAATGATCTGATTATAAAAAAATGCAACTCAATATATCGATAAAATTTCATTTATAAATACTTTATAATGAAATTAATAAGCATCATAATAAATATCTTGCGCAAATTTTTAATATCATATGAATTATTTAAAAATACTAAGTACAGAGATTTATAGCGCTGAAAATTAAAATTGGTTAGTACAAAGATTTATATTACTGTAAATTATTTTCCACTTCCTGAGATCTGTTTGCAATGGGTGAGCGTCTTTTAATAGGAGGTGAGCAAAAACTGTTATTTGCAGAATCCGAAGTATGATGAGGATCATTTCTGAAATGGATAAAAAGCAATAAAACTATCGAACCCTTCATTTTTACCGGAAGCTTCTGGAGAGTTATTCTATTTGAAACCGGCTTCACTAACAGAAAAAATTTATTTCAGAAAACAGGATAATGTGGATAATATTAAATTAAATATGACATGAATTAATAAACTACAATAAAATGCAAAAGATAAAAGGTTTTTCAGGTGAAAAGAGCCTTTTTTTTCAAACGAATGATTTAATGAGCTTACAATTTGATGCGCTTCACACATCTCATGATGCCTTCAATTTCTTTCGACCCATCTAGAAAAACTTTTATAAATTTAGAGAATAATTATATTTACTGAACTAAATTATTCTAATTCTAGAGAATCTATGATTGGTTCCAAATGTTAAGAAATATTAAGAGTAATATTACCCGAATTTTGTTCACCACCAGTCGCAAAAGAATTCTTTGAATCCTGGTAACCATCTGATGATTTCGAATCCTTTTTTTTATTACCATTATTGCCCTAAAATTCTTTTGTTTTCTTAGGAATAAATTATTCAAAATTTTTTTGGAATTAGTACAAATATCCTAATCCATAAAAAAGGATCGGCAAAGAACTTCACCTTAATATCTACATTTAAAAAATTATCTGTTAATGATTATACCTTTTCTTCACCCTCAGGTGTGACGTCCTGCAACCTTGTTTTAGCCAAACACATCATGCCAACTGAAAAATGATATGTAATAGTCGTAATGCTTAATAATGAGAAAAATAGTTAAATTCTTTCAATAGTTAAATTCTCTTCTGGAAGCGTTCATTATTCCTGATTTGAATGCTTCAATCATCTAATAAAGCCAGGGAAGATATACATATATATGAAGATATAGATTCATAATTCTACGAATGGCAGAAGGCTCTGAATCAATATCACATGAACATTCCGCTCCCAACTTGATAAATAAATACATTAAATATATATTTTATTATAAATTTATTATAATGAAGTTAAGATTCACATTTTAAAAATACACAGAAAGGCTTTTCATAAGGCTTTTATCCGATCAATTTTCAAATGACTTAGGTATGAGTTATTACTCGACAATTTTTTAGTGTTTTACGGGCTCATATACATCGTTAATAATATAAATATATAATATAAATGAACTAAATAAAAGTACATCTAAAAAAGAACGGTAAATCTATGGTTACTTTAATATTAACAGCTAGCAAAGTTAGCATTATTACCTAAAATATATCAAAGAAAGACATACACATTTTTACTTTCTTATGAACCAATGCTGGATCGATTGTAACCGTCTTAGTACAATCATATGTTTTAAAAATTCCAATCAAGCGATCACCTAATTCAAACATATTGTTTCGTAACGATATGATGATGAACTGGGCATTTTTCGTACGATCCTTTAGCAAGCAGAAAACTTTAAATGGAAGATATAACAAAAAAAAGTAATATACTAAATTACACCAGTGACCAGATGAAAATTAGTTTTAGAATAAATTTTTTTTTTATAAATGATTCTATAAATGATTCTATATACATCATTCACATCGTGAAATTAAAAGTACCTTCACATAATGCCCAATTATTGAAACATTCCGAAAATCGAGCGCTGCATCGATTTCATCCATTATATATAAAGGAGTAGGGCGATAATGATGAAGTGCGAATACAAGCGCCAGAGATGACAAGGTTTTTTCACCACCAGATAAATTTGTAATCTGTTTCCAAGATTTTTTGGGCGGACGAACTCTAAAATTGATGGATAATATAGTAAATAATAGGTGATTACAATACAGAAATTAGAAATTATTAAGATATTTAATTAAAGAACAGTCTGTGGCGAATCAAACTTACCCAAATGATACACCTTCGCTAAAAGGATCAAGGGAATCAACCAGATCAAGACTAGCGTCACCTCCCAATGTGATCATTTGATATAACTCTTTCAATGCAACACCAATCCTTGTAAAACCATCCATAAATTCATTCATACGTTGTTTACGAAGTTTTTCGCAGAACTGCCGATGTTTATCACGTTTTTGAGATATAGCAGATAATGCTTCTAATTCGCGATCATATCGACTAAGCTAAATAATAGTTTTGTGAAAAAGAAAGAATATGAAAATTGAAAACTGTTATATAAAAAATTTAGATCATTTGTTAACGGTTATAATAAAAAAGGAATATCACAAATAAAAAAAATAATTTAAGAAAAAAGCTATGAAAAAACTAAGGCAAAATCTTAATTAGTTACTTATAACCTCATATTTTTTATATTTGACTAATACCTTTTTGACATATTCTTGCAAATCATTTATATTAATGATTTTAGCATGCTTTTGTTTCTCTAAATTCGCCAAGTTGAACCTGAAAAATAATACATCACTAATGGTACATATAATACTGTTGAATTTAAAATGGCAAACAACAAACTAAAACTTCTATTTCTTTTGTTTTCTATCTGAAATCTTTTTAATCTGAAATAATCTCTTCCTCAAAATTTTACCAGAAGCGATGAAAATTGTTTGAAAAAAAGAGACATAAAACTATTTAACAACTGAGACAAAAAAATGTTTCAGAAAAAAAACAAAAAAATACTTGATCTCTTGTACATCGAATAAGTCAACTTCTCCTTGAGTGAAAATCGGAAGATTATCAACTCGAACGACCAATTCATCATCACTATCAACTATATATCTCTTTTCCTATAATCAAAATTGACCGAAATTTAATGAAATGAAGAAATGAAAACAAGGTCACTTTTAAGCCAAATGAAATTATTAATTATGTAATAAAATTATATACTTTAATATCGTTAAAATATTGTTGCTCCAGAAGCAGTGCTTCTTTCAAACTTGCATCGTAACAATCATCCACTGTTCGTAAATTTTCTGGGAGACGATCCAAACATTTAACATATTTTAAATGCAGTGAAGAAATCTGAAAAAAGAAAAGGAAATTATGAAAGAACTCTAAGCATTACAAAAATGCTGATATAAATGATATAAATATAAATGGTGACCGAAAAATATTCCATATATATAATATTTGAGTTACCAAAATGATACCAATTATAACCTTTCGTAAAGAAATTTATTTTAAAAAATACCTTGGATTCAGTATTCTCCACTTTAACCAAAAGATTTTGAATTATTTTTTCTTGCTCCACAAGTGATCGACTTAGATCAGCTATATTTTTTTGCAGATCCATTTCTTCTATGTCTAGTTCATTATTCTTTCCTATGGCTTCTTTCATACATTGCTCATTTGTGTCCATTTGAACCTAAAATTAAAAAATTCAAATAAGGATATATAATATAAATCATCGAAAGATGAAATAAATAAATGAAACAACGCAAGCCAAAAAAATTTGATAAAATTAGAAAAAAATTTGATAAAATTAACACCTTCTGCTGAACTTTAATTTTTTCAAGCTGTTCTAAGTTCGTCAAATATGATTCAATACTTTCTTGAATATCTTTTAGTGAATTTTCGATTTCAATCAAATCAGCTTCAAGATCATTTCTTCTGAAAGAAAATTACGAATAAGATTATGAATATTAAAATGAAATCTCTTACTCACAAAGCTCTAAATATCTCGTCCAGTACGTTTCAATTCTAAAAGTCGTTTTCTTTTACTCCTTACCTTTTCCTCTCTCATCTTCGCTTGCCTTATAACGAAGTAAAGAGCTTATAAAGCAATCAAAATTATGAACGATTATTTGTTGAAAAAAAAGCAAAATTTAGAAACAATTACCTAGATTTTGCTTTATTAATATTTCGTTGTGCATTATTAAGTGCGCTCTGTTCTTTTGTTATACCTTTTGAAGCATTTTCTTTCCTAAAATTAAGAATTAAGAACGGAATTATAAAACTATAAATCAATTCAAAATTACTTTGTTTCAGCAGATTCTAGTTCCTTTTGATAAGGGCCAACAATTCGATCATAAACTTCCTGAATTTCCTTACTTATTCTCGCAACACATTCGCGAACTTGATCTGCTGCCTCAACAGCTTTGTCTCGAACTAAAATTAAAAATTCAAATGGACGGCTATTATGCAAGCGATGATTCAAGAGTGGTCCAAATCAAAATAGAAAATATAAAAAGTTCATTAGACCTGAAAAAAACAATATTTAAAAGACGTTAATTCACCTTTTTCTAATTTTGCAACATTGCTCTGAGCAGTTTCAATGGCAGCTTGACCGGAGGCAACAATGCTATCGGTTTTTTTTTGTTGCTCATTTAAGAGTTTCTCGATGTTATGAATTTTTTCTTCAAGTGAAGCAATATCATTTACCAAAGAATGCTCATTTCGCTTCAGTCTTTCATAATCTGTCTCCAATGTTGTTATACGAACATCTAGCTACAAAAAAATTTGGTTTCTGAATGGATTAATTAAGGACGAATCGACAAAATTTACCAGGAGAAATCAAACATTAATAAGAAAGGAAAAACAATGCCTTAAAAAAATTGAATAACCTTCTGAATATCTTCTCTTAAATTGCATAAATTTTTTTCTTTATCCTCCAACTCCTTACGTAAATCATTAATTTCATTAACAGAATCCTTAGTGGTATCGATAAGCACGCTTCGACCAATTCGACCTCTTAAAGATTATAATTGCATATTTTTTTGCACTCAACCTACAGATATAAAGGCTTAAAAATTGAATATAACAAATAAATATAAATCTTATACCTTTTTTCCGAGCGTCCGCCACCTGTCATGGTTCCACTAGTTTCAACAACTTCACCCTTTAACGTGACAACCCTGTAACGCTCTTTGCCACCCATACCGATACGGGTAGCAGCTACAATATCATCAGCGACCAGAGTATCTCTCAGTGCATAATAAAAAGCCGGCAAAATTTTTGGATCGGAAACATGGATTAAATCAAACAATCTCGGGGCGTTTTCTGGCCTAAATTAATAAGCCTCAATAATACAAAAAGTATACATTTGTATTAATATTAATATATTTTTATTAATACTTTTTTGCAAAGAACATTTCGCAAAAACGTTATAAAAACAAAATTAATATCGTGTTCAATTGTCCTTAGTTAAACACCACGAAAATAAAAATATTTTTATTTATTTTTTTACTTGTTTTTATTTTTTATTAATAAAAATATTTAAAAATAAATTATGTAATAATTACGTAATAGTATTTCGAATTTGCGTATTTCTGCAATTCTAGTTTTAACTAACTAACTGGACAAAGAAAAATAATAGAATGAATAGAGCTTACGTATGTTTTGGTTTGGTCATATAAGGAAGCAATTTTTCCTGTTTATTCAAAGCTAAGAACGATGCAATTCCGAGATTTTCACGACGTAATAAATCCACACATTGTTTTGCTGTTTCAACCGTATCCACAACAACGAAATCAAGAGCACCACAGGTGGATGAGATAGCCACATCATATTTCTCATCGATAGCACCCAAATCACCCTTTAAGAATTCTTCTGATGAAGTTTTAATGAAAAATGAAAAATATTAGAAATAACTATAACTATAAATTAATATTAAAATGACCAACCAACCGCCCGAAAATGCCAGGAATATGGCCGGAAGATTTTGCAGCCATTAAACGTTTCATCATGCTATTTTGACTTCGATAAGACTCAGACTTTTGAGATTTCTGTTGAAACTTGATACGACAAATTCGAACCTTTAACGATATGGCAAAAATAACAAAGGATACTGTAATGAATGTGAAAGTGGATCAGTGAAGGTGGAAAGATAAAGCAAAAAATAACTAAAAATAACTAATTTTTGGTAAAAATAACTGATCAAACTCCATTCTTGAAATATTTTTCTTTTTAAATTTCGAAAAAATTTTCAAAATAAAACAAAGTAAATTACCATGGAATTTAATAATAGAATTGTTTTAAAAGATACTATGAAATGAAAAGATACTATGATACTATGAACTACTATGAAATCTGAGTTATTATGAAAAATAATAAAATTTATTAAACAAATTAAAAATGAAAATTTCAAGAGAACAAATATAAAGCAAAACTAATTGATATATGAAAATTGTTAAATTGGTAAAATTGGTAAAAAATTAATTGGTAAAATTTAAGTTCCATACTTGTTCTATAAGTTTATTTTCTTCAGTGCGCTTGGAATCAATAACATTTCCAATTTTCATTAGCTCTTCTTCCACCTTTGGTAATATTTCCGAAATTTTCGAAACTTCACTGTAATGACGAAATAAATATATAAAAAATATATTTTATTATGGAAACAGCTGAATTCCACAACAAACTGCATGATTTTAACAGAACCCACTGCCATGATTTTAAAAGAAATAATCAATCAAATAATTCAGACCTTTTTTTAGTTTTTAGAGAATTGATAGCATTATCGTAAGCTTCTCTAAGTTCGACCAATCTTTTTCTTTCTTTCGCTTCCTCGGATCTCAATAATTGAAATTCCTCCTGCGCCAGTGTAAGCTACAATTCGATTAAGATTAAAACATAGACCCATAATTTTCATAAATTCAAAAAATTGAAAACTTGAGAGCAAAAGCATTAGTATAATCAATCGGATTCTTAAATTAAATAAATTAAATGAATAATATTAAAAACCTTGCTTATAGCATCATCTTCATCTAACGATAATTTTCCAAGTTCTTCTTCTAGCATTTTTTTTTCATGTTTTAAATCCATCGTATCTCTTTCTAACTCACCAAGTTTTTCATCAACCTATAAATTTTATAAAAATATAAAGAAGAAAATTATAATAATAATAACACAAAATTCAAAGATTCATTCAATTCCCTGACCTGTCTAAAAACATTTAATCATTTCAGATCATTTTAAACTAAGCTAACATAATGGGCAGAATGGCTCAGTGGATTGTTGCTCAATTCGGAGCACCGATACTGAGGTTCGATTCTCCACAGGAGTAAACCTATACAAAAATCCGGGTGATGCTGGCCACTCACCTGTATTTCTATCGCCAAGGGACTAACTCCCTGGCATATTGCTCAATTGCCACAAGTCAGTGGAGCGAGTTTAACCAGTAATGGTGAGGATTCTTCAAAAAAAAAAGCCAACATAATAATTAAAGTAAATAAGGAAACACTAAGAACTTTCGAGATATTCTTACCTTATTATCCGCGATCTTAAATTTTCAAGAAAATCTAAAAAACTTTAAATCTTTTCAGGGAAAAAACCTAATAATTTTTCCTAATAAAACCATTGCCATGGTACTGAAATAAAAAAATGACCAATGCTTTTTTCTGCGAAATAATTTCTTCAACGTCGTCTAAGATAGCTTGATATTCTGCAATTTTAGTTCCAGATTTTTCAGGAACACATTCGTATTCTTCAATCTGAAAAATAGAGGTAAAGGTGAACATGAATCGACAAGGATCGCTCAATTAAAATTTTTTCATAAATGTTATTACTCTCATGCTACAAAAATTAGTTTGAAAAGTACCAACCTTTTTTATCTCTTTACTTATGTCCTTCTTTACACTCTCCTGTTTTTCTCGCAAACGTAATAAATCTGCTTTCTTTTTGCTTTGAGCTTGCTTTAGACTATCAATATCACTCTTACAACGTTCATAAATCTTTTGAGCAGTTTCAAATTCGCTTAAATATATAATTCGTGAAAACCAAACTAACATTAAAATTTTTCCTTACTTCAAAAATGAAAAAATCGGTATTTTAAAAGTAATTATATTAATGAGATTAATATTTTCAGATTTTATCAAAGATCAATTTAAAAACAAAGTTTAAATATTTTAAAATTACAAGATTTACAACACCTGCGTAATCTATTATGTTCTTCATTTCGTATATTTTGCAATGATAAAACCTCTTGTTGTCGTGTTTTAAGACGCTCCAATTCAGTAGTTATACTGTCTTTCTTTTCTTGTTCTATGTTTAATTCATTCTGAACGCTCATCCTAAAACTCGTGAATAAAATGGAAAATCGACAATTCTTAATAATTTATTCTTAATAATTAATTTTTAATTATATTAAGAACAGTGATACAAAATTATCAATGAGACAATTAATTAAGATGCCTATCTCTTTGATACAATCGATTCCTCAAAAGCGTAAGACCATTATCAATTCTCATTTCATTGATGAGATGCTGTATAGGACCTTCGGCTTCCGTTTTTTCCTTCTCTGCATGCTTCAAACGATTTAATTGCCCAGATCGTTCCTCTTGTAACAATTCAATTTTCCGTTGCAACTTCTCAATTGGCAGCTAAAAATATAAAATGAAATATTACGTTCTTTAGAGATATTGTAATAGAACCCACAAAATAAACCAAAAATATTTTTGTCTCCAAATCCTTTAAAATACAAACTGTTCAAACTAAAAACGATTCAACATTCGAATTTGTGAAAATTAAATAATCAAGAAAAGAGAAAGATTTCTAAATATGAAATAATTCTTTAAAGAGACAAAAATATATTTTCAGTCAATTCCACATTCTGTGGCTGTGATTGTTTTTAAATATGATGATAAGCAAAAAAATCAAAAAAATATATATAAATATATAAATATAGACAACAATATGGTCAAATTCCATAAGGTATAGCACAGTGATTAAGAAGGTTGACATGGAATATAACAAAGATGATGGGGTTTAAATCGCAAAACATCGTTCTACGTCGATCTCCCAGGTTTCTCTCGCTAGGGCCCGAAATTAAAGCAACCCATATCAACCACAATGGATAAGAAGAGAAACTTTTAATAGACTAATAATCAAGGTAGGCGAATATTATGGGATACAACAATGGTTTGAATCATTTTAAGAGTCCTTGGGCCACACTTTCCGGAAAGCTTACCTGCATTACCTCAATCTTTGACTCTTGGTATAGGACATGAGGTTGAGGGTTCATACCACCTATAGGTAGTAGAGAGGAGAGAGGTTTTTTTATAGATACACTATACAATATAGATTATCAGTATGGTCAAATTACACAGTAGATTGAAGAAATTCATTAACTTATATAATAATAAAACTGCAAACCTTTAAGCGGCTAGAACCGATAATGTCTTCTAAATATTCCAACATTCCATCATCATTTTCATTTAACGCCTTTGGCTTCATAAGTGCTATTTGTTCAACTTCACCCTGAAACAGTTCTTTCTTTCTCTTTTTATTCGGTTAATTTCCAATGAAAAAAAAGAAACTATATCGTTTTAAAAAGTTGAAATAGCAATGAAATAGCAATGAATATATCTCATATTTCTATAAAATCTCTAAAACATAAAAAACATCTTAATAATTAAATTCTCAATCATCCTATTCCTCCTAATATCAACATTTTTTCTTAAAATCTAATAAAAGATAATCATTAATCATTTTAATATCACATTTTTAATACCTGTAAAATAAGAAAACGGTTGTGTATAAGATCGATTCCAACATCACGAAGTAAACGAGCAATATCTTTAAACTGCATATTTTTTCCATTATACATATATTTTGAAGAATTATCTTTATATGCAATACGAGCAACTGTAAACTGACTTCCAGGAACCACTTGATAACTGCCATCCTCCTGTAATTTTCGCCAAAATAAACAATTGAAAAAAAAGATTAGTCTGGAAAAATTCATATATATCTCATAAGAATAAAAAACTTACCAAATCAATAATTTTTTGAAAATTAACAGCTACTGCACAACTGGTGATATTTTCCCTGCCAGCAGACGAATGAATAAGCACACTAATCTTTTTCGAACGAATTTTTGATGCCCTATAGCCAAAAACAAATAATAATGAATCAATTACATTACTTTTACCACTACCATTCGGTCCAATAATAGCGGAAAAATTCTGAAAATATCTAACTTTAGAATTAAAATTTTAATAATTTTAAAATCACTAAAGGAGTTTCGGTTTTTACCTTCCATAAGAGATAAGTTTATTATTAAAAAATCAGTAGTGCTGGCAATTCACCCTATCGCGAATAAAAAGTCATTAAAAAGTCCGATAATGAAAATTCAAATTGACAAATATAATACTAACATGATGGAATGGCCCCAAAACTTGCTTGCCATAATAAGACTTAAAATTTTCAACTTCAATACTAAAAATCATAAGCCTTTCGCTACTTCCATTTGTTGCCATAACGAGTTCGGGCATAGCTGGGATTTCCATATTTAATAAATCCTAAAAATTTAAATTTCAGATAAATTTTACTCATTTACTAATTAATTAAAAGCAATTAATTAATTAATTTACTAAATAAATAAATGAAATCGATGATAAATTCGATAATTTTTGTCTAACGAAAAGTTCGATAGATTTTTCAATTTGTTCTTTTTTATTTTGAGCGACATAACACAAAAAAATTCAGTAAAAACAAAAAAAAGCAAATATTGTTGATTAACAATCTGCCATTAACAAAGATGAAAATGAACGAATGTATCGTTTCTAATTTTTAATTGACGACAACGCTCCATTTTATTTTGCCAATAATTCATCAAACTTTGGTAAATTTCATCATAAATTTTAAGCCTCTATTATATTTCTGAACTTTTCCACCCTCTTTGAAACATCTTTAGAACTGCTTGTGTTGTCTGTCGTTCGAATGCTCAACAATTTTAAATAATTCTAGATTGATTTGAACTCAGTAGAGAAATTTGGTGAATGGTCTTTGAGAAAGGGTCAATTACACAATATTTTTTTGATGGACGGATGAAAGCTTAAAATTAAAGGATAGTTTGTCGAATCTGAATTAATTAATGATAAAAAATTATCACCTCATCATCTAAATTATCCCGAATTTCGGCACGTAAATCTTCTTCACTACTAGAATCTGCGAGATTTTCATCGTCTTTTTTATGCGTTTTTTCATCTTAAAGCAAAAACGAATTAATGCTTTCATAAAATTGCGAAAATAAATTCAACAAAAAATATAAAAATATAACCTTCGTCGTTCTTTTTTGACGTTTTTGTTATGGTCGATGCGCTTTTTCCTTCCCTTTTAATTCTCGCCATTGACCTGAAGTAAAAACTCTATTTTGTTGGTTAAAATTTCATTTCTCTCGCAAAATTAAATTAACGATGACACTAGTGACTGAGCTATAATAAACTTTATGGACTACAATTCTTAATTCCGGCACCATTGGAATTTTGGCAGAAATAGACTTGACACTCATAAATCCGGAGTGATGCTAACAATTCACCTGGAGAATTTCTGCAGCCCAATAAACTAGAGAAGCAACCCTACGTTGAAATGAATGAGCTTTTAAGAAAAAGGTGGGTTCGATTGCGAACTCTAGACGAGAATGAAAAAAATTCTGAGTGCCTGATGACCCAGTTGTACCTTTGCTTTTAAGTGCCACTCTGGTGAAAAGTCTTGGCTTTCCTGGAGAAAATACAAATAGAAATTGCACTCAGATTATTTGCCAATAAAAAATAACTGCCTAATAATTATTAGCCAAATTTGATTCTTTGAGTTTACAACTTATGCTTAGCCTAAGACAATACCAAAGTCGCGGAGAGAAGATTGGAGTTAGAGCCATAGGCAAGCAAAGAAAACACGCCCAAGGTGCCAAGGCCTGGGTCACAAGCCAGACCTGTGAGCAGAAAAAATTAAAAAACACCTGCGATCAAAAATCAAATATATGCCGCGTTTATTTTAAATTAGCTGCATCCACTTAAGACCAAGGTTCGTATTTTGCAGCTAAATATCTTAGGTTTGATAATCTTTATTTTAAGGTTGAATCACTGGATTGACCTATAATTAGGCGGTTGCGGTTGGTACTGGTGGAGTCATGTTAATTGAAACGAATATTAGTCGAATCTATTTGTTGAAATATCTTCAGAAATGAGAATTATCAATAACTGTGGCAACCTAGGCTTTCTTTCAGTGAATTGTCGATTCTGCTGGGCACAAACAGGCTTTAATTCATTTGAGATAAAGCCTGGCTTGCCTCCACTGTAAGGTTGGTACCGCAAATTAGTGCATAATTGAAAAAAGACACCTAGTCATAATAGACTATTATAGTAATTAATCATTTAGCCTATTAGTACCCGTATATTACTGGAAAGTTTGCCTTACAGACTTTGTTTCATCATCGCCTCCTTGAAGTCTTAAAATTCCCCCAATGAGAGAATGAGAATTTTCATCTAGTTGAGTACCTCTGAATTGCGGCATCTATGAACTCAAATGTCATGATCATGATTCGCTTACTTTGCGGGAATAGACCTGAAGTCGACTGTTAATCGGCTGTTCGTAGATTTTCTTTTTATCCTCAAGTGACGAACGGTATTCTGTTCTTAGCTTAGTTAAGGTTCCAGCCAAGCCAGAATTAATGAATTTTCCAGAAAGAAACTCTTGATAAACATGAAAATTAGCTATAAGGAAGAAATTTATTCAAGCAAATTTAGTCTTTTTATACGAAGTGCTTCTAATATTTCCGCTTCCACTTCTATCAGACTGAAAGAGTTTTGCCATTTTTGCGATAAGCAGCGAAGGATATTGGCCAACCGCCGAAGACGATGTTCTGTGGAGGTACTGCAGATGGTGGATGGGTGCAGTCATTTTAGATTCTATCGGTGTGTTTTGCCATGCCGTGAGTGGTCAAGCCAGACAACTTTTTAATATCTCCCACTTTTATTGACCTTATTCGTATGCTGCAGAAATAATTTGGTTTTCATTATTTGTTGAGTTAAATGAAATGAACCTAAAGAATATTTTCGTGATTCTTTATCATAATTTATCAACAAAACAAAAGCATTAATGAAGAGATAAACTTGTTGATTGAAATATGTTGTCGATCAAATAAAATGAACTCGTTTAATTTAGAAATAATCAAATCTGATGGAAAATTTTATAAAATAAAACCATTGTTAAAACAAAACTTGTTAATTTCTCCTAAATTAATATTATTTTGAAAAAATGAAATGAAAATTAACTTTTTCAACGTTTTTAAAATTTATGCGATGATAACGATAACTGCTGATATGATATCGATTTGAGTGACATGGAGACGTATTTTCTTAACCAGTGGAACCAGCCAAGCTGTCAATGGTGTAAAATGTTCGAAAAGAAGAAGGACAACATTACTCACTTGCTTGTCATTTAAAACTTGTATAGCAAAACTATTACTGCTTGAAGGGTTTTTATAAAAAATTGCTTTCAATAGAAATCTTTCAAAATTATGAAAAAACTGCTATTATTTGCATTATGTTCATGTTCAATTTGTTTCATTTCTATTATTTACTTTGTCCTTACTAATATCAGCAAATGACCTGCTTGGCTCATGTCCGTCCTTAAAGGAAAATAGTGAAGGCACCACTGAATATACAGTCCAATCCAACTTTCATGCTGGCATTGCATTCAAAATTTTTACTTACAACATTGATTAAATAGGTTGGAATGGAGTTGAAATTACTCAATGAACTACTCCCATTCCGAGGCACTGATATTTTTGTTCCGCCAGGAAAACTCCAGTAACATTGGCAATAACTCTTTAATATGAAAAATAATGAAAACATGGAATATATTTGTTCGTTTACCCGAGGTCAATGACAGAAATAGGAAAATTAGAAGTCCAAGAAGGTTTCAATGATTTTTAAGGAAGTTGTTAACAGGATTTGGAAGAACGAAACAATGACATTTGGTGACTGGCTCTTCTAAAACTAATGAATGAGCTCTTGATAAAAGTAATTGTAAACCAACACAGTGGTACTATATTCAATGCCGTTCAGTGGTACTATACTTTGCATTTCTTTTAAAATTTTTCTCAAAATATAATAACGATCACGATTTGTGAGTTTTTTTGCAAACAGGAAATTTTTATTGAAAGGATATTTCTCCTGCATGTGACTCTATGTTATGCTTATCATGCATACTGATCGTGCAATTTTTTTCGATTATTGTTATGAGTTTCATGAAAACTCGTGAAAACAAGTTCAAATGACCAGTTCTCAGATTTTTAGGGGTGGTTCATTCATTCATTAAGTGCATGCGCAAGTTTAATGCTTATAATAAAATGTTTTGGCGTAGATATGCAGCAATTTTATTTAATTTTAAAATTTAAATTTCTACAGTTTCAATTTGTCAAATTGAATTTTAGCAACTGTCATTGGTTTTTTCAATTTTTTTATTCTATTTTTCTTGATTATCGACATTACAATTTATCAAAACGTTGAACTATTATCAGCAAAAATTTCTTGACTTTCTTGTTTTATCTATATTCACGGAAAAGGAATTCTTAAAATTTGCTACTTCAGTTGTAATTCAGTTTTATTATATGGCTTCGATTTTAGCTTCCTGATAGGAGACTTGGTACGAGGTTAGGAGGAGAAGACAAGTTATCAAAGGAGCGAAAGGCGGAGTGGAGAACCTCTATCTCTTTCCCCAGGTCTATCAATCCTGAAAGACCAATAAGGAATGGGTGAAAAAGGATAAAAATTATTGAATAGGTCTTTTTACATTCTTACGGAATTGTTTTTTCCTGCAAGTTTTCAGAGAGATTTCCAATGAGATCATATTTTCACTATGAAAATTTCATAAAATTTCAAAATATCATAAAATTGAAATTCTATTTTCCATTCGCATCGCAAATCTTTAATTAAACATTTTGGCAATTTTCTAATCCACTGTAAATTGATTTAGAATGATATGCATTCTCTTTCTGACCGGTTTCCTTGCGATTGCTGCACAAAGTGTAGAAGAAACCGGTAAAATTACGGGAAATCTGCCGAGCATACATAGCTTAAATTCATGTCAATATCTACAGAATATTTCAGGTAAGAAAATTCGTAATGGTCGTATAATCTCTAACATACGCAAATTCAGTACAAGAAACCAGAGGGTCTAAAAAATCCGGGTGGTATTGTTGATCCTAATTCTATCGTTTCCTTGGCAAAGAATGTCTGACTCGACTAAGCCAGCGGAGATGATAAGTGCCTATCATGAAAAAAGTCTGAATATGATGAAATTACCTTAGAATTTTAATAAGCCTTAGGAAACACTACAAATGAGTGCTTCAAACATTTTGAAGAATTAAGATTTTAGTAATTTGTCAAGGAAAAAGCGATAGAACTTTCTAGTGCTGTCCTATAAGATTTCATATTAGCCTGCAAATACAGATGTCGAGACACTCGATCGGCACCAATACAATATTCTCGAGCAATGCCTATATTATTATTTGGCTGGTGAAGCACAGCGAAAAGCAGGTCGCTTTGGAGGTATACGAGCAATTGTAACACTATCACCAAATTCAGAATCCAAATCAATTCCCGTTACGATAAATTTTCATCAAATTACACTTCAGCACTTTGAACTGGTCAGTGACTTAACTAAATTGTTTATTGCTCAAGCATAAAGTTATCGTGGCCTTGAGGATTAGTTAATATCTTAAAATATTTTTCAAATAAAGGTTAGAATGGCTCAGTGGATTGTTACGTTTATAATCGAGGAGGCATTGGAATACTCTTGATTGAATTAAGCTGACCTTCCAAAATTCAGGTAGTGTTGACGATCCATCTATATTTCTATTACCAAACCTCCCTTGGCACCAAAAAATTTCATAACAAGAAGCCAGTCTGACCAAAAATGATGCAAAAATCATCATTTATAAAAAAATTTTTCTATAAAATATCAAATAATTTCAAACCATAATGAAACTTTCAAACATCAGTTATATCGCAGAAACCGCAGTCCCATTGCCATACGAAATGCAATGGCCAAAAGGTTTCAGCCTTATTTCAATTGCCAGTGAAGGCCCAGCTAAACCAGAAATTATGCACTTAGAAATGCAAAAGTTCTCATAATTTTTGACTCTTCTTCCTTTAATAACTGTTATCATCACTGATTAGACTGGCTCCGCTGGCTATAAGAGTAACGCGTCTCCAAACTATTCGGCCTGACGCCATCGCTGGCAGTAATTTAAAACCATCTAAATTTTACTAAGCTTTAGAATGAATTTACCAAGGATATAACCATCCAAGGATATATGGCTGTTTCATGGATTGATAAAAGACTTTCATGGAATGAAAATGATTGGAATTTAAAGAAACTTTCAATAAATTCGATCGCTCATGTTTGGGTGCCCTTAATAACTGCACAAACGTAAGTTATTCATTCATTCAATCCACTTATTTCAAAATTCTTCCAAAAGATTTAACTGAATAGAAATATTTCGCCGATAGACAAGAATTTGGTTTAGGCAATCTTTTTCTAATTTATATAATCGTCTTATCGATAAATTTGATCAAATTTCGTTAACAATAATGAATAGAATTAAAGTTACGAAACGGCTTTGCGAAACGGTGATCTTTTGGAAATGCGAAAAATTGAAGCAAATAGCAATGGTACAGTCAATGCAATTATCAATTTTTCGTTACGGACATTTTGTGACGACGCAGATTTTCAGAATTTTCCAGACGATGTATATCGTTGTTGTTTTCAGCTAGAACCACATATTAACCAGGTAAACTATTATTCATAACCATTTTAATAATAGTAATATTCGACGAAAAGCGTAGAACAGCTCAGTTGGATTTTGTATCTCTGCTCCTAGCAGGAGGAAAACCTATCTTTCACCGATTATATATCCATCGTCAAGTGATTCTCTGGAAAAATTTCATTTATCCGACAAGCCAGCGAAACGAGCAGCCTTAAAAGGTGAGTTGTTAGAAAAGGAAAGGAAATAAAAGAATTCACCAAAAATTTACTTCCATCGAATTAGGCTGAATATTAATCTCAAAATTTTCATAAAATTACAGTAAAAATATGAATTTTAATATGAGAAATGTTAGAATGTGGAATTTACCACTAATGGGAGGCCGATATTTACTGATCCGAGATATTTTCGCGATTACGGTTGGCTATTATCGGGAACTGTGCCAGTTATCCAGAACTACGCTACCAGTATAACGCAAGTGAGTTTCAAAAAACAACTGAATGTGATATTAATGTCAGAATCGAGAAAATCAGTTGTTTCTTCTATAAAATTAGGCTCAACAAGGTTGAAATGAGTTAAATATTTCTTCGCCTGTGGGCAATTCTATTTCTTGCGATTCCTTCCAAAGATGCAAAAGCAAATTTAAAGATAACATTGACAGTAATAATCAAAATAAAAGAGTAGAGTAGCTCAGTATTCTTATTTTCATATCGCAGTTCTCGGCAAGGGTAAATCTATACGTCAAAAATCCTGCCGATTCACTGGTACTTCTTTTATCAAGCCAAGTTACTCTCCGGTGAAAGCTAATCCTATAAGCTAGTCGAGCAAACCTAACCAGAAATGGTGCTCCTGGGAAAAAAAATAGTTTTAATCATTTTTTAGCTCGTTTTCTGCATGAATCTTCAACGATCAACAAATTCCGTTCGAATTGAATTAACATTACCAACAACCATTACCTCTCTTCTATTTCTTATCACGCCACTGTTTGGCAAAATTCAACTTCAAATATTTACAAAGCTATTCGTTTTGTTTTTGCAATTTTTGGCTCTACAACTATTTTCAAATCGTATTGCACCACATTTGGGTTCAGCGGCTGCTACACCGAAACTCTGTAAGTGAATATGCGGATTATATTTTCTGTTGTTTTCAGATTTATATGATTATGGTGATTACGATTATATGATTATAAGCGGATGAAGTTCTATTTCCCGCAGTAAGCCAGTCCAGAAATCCAGGTGATGCTCGCGACTCATCTGTACATTCCATCGCCAAGGGACTTTCTAGCATATTTGTCCAGTGCGACAAGCCAGCTGAGCGAGTCTAACCAATAATGGTGAGGGCTCTCAAAATTATAAGTGTTGGCGGAAAAATTAAAATCATGCATAATGGATATTAGTGGAAGAATTAATCAAACCTTCGCTGGATTTATTGGAACTGCATGCACTGGCAGTAGATTTATTCTGTGGGAAAAAACCATAAAATTAAGAATTTTTAAGAAAATTAATCCAAATTTGATTTTATAGTCAAGTTAACGATATTTGCAGTGAAATTTCACGAATATGCCATGATGATCAACACAATGAGTATATTAATCTCAGTAATACTTTGGATGCTAGCGAGAATTCGGCGAAGGCTACCGCCATGGGCATGGCTCATTCAGTAAGTTCCACTCAAATCTACATAATTGAGGAACTGAGCATTTTTACGATAGCCATTTTGTGAAAATTAAACAATGAACTGTGAATTTTTTAAGAATTAAAAGAATTATCAGATAGTGCCACAGATATGGTGATTATTTTACTAGCTGGCTATTTTACTAGAATAAACGAAGTAACTTGAATAGTTCGATTCCCTTTCTTATTAATAGGAATGAAATCCTAGTAGTCATGGAACTAACTCCGCGTTGATAAAATGATAAAATGGTACTGGTAAAATATTTTCTATTGAAAAATATTTTCATTATTGAACAATATTATAGATTATCACAAATAGTAAATGGATTGCTTTGTGCTTTTAATAGCAGCGAATTAGCGATCACTGAACTGCCATTAGAAAAAGTCGAAACTACATCATCATATCAGTCTGACTGGGCAAATGCATTTAATGCTATTCATAGTGTGGCCGTTGGTACTATATCCATTGTTTTTATTCTCGGATATATCATTATTTTATAGAGTAATAGAACGATAGATATTAAATGTAAATTAAAATTCAATAAAAAATTTCATAATTTTTTGATTAAAATTTGTCATTGCTTAATTTTTTCATTTATTATTATCATATCATAATTTATCATACTGTTTTATGAAATATCATTTTAATTATTTTGATAACTAGCCATCTGATTTATTTTCCAAATATATAAATATTACGATCAACAAAAGGTTCTCTTTGATTCTCTAGTAAAATTTACCTAATCCGATAAGAGAGGAGAAAATACCTCAGCAAAAAATTCCTTTTATTTTTATGACAAAAACCATCACTAACGATTAAAATATAACTGTATTTATATTCCGATTCAAGAAATAATTTCAGTCTATTCGTTATAGTGCAGCTGGAAATAAATAAATAAATTTATTTATTTTATAAATTTTTCATGCATATAATTGAGAAAAAATGCTGAAAAATTAAGACAACCTGAACTTTAAAATATTATAAAATTGTACAATACTTTGTCGCTTTTGCTAAGAAAATTCACATGGACCTCTATTTCAAGGCAACTAACTCCCCGTTAGAGGAATTACCAAGGTAGAAATATTACTGGAATGGAAGGCTTTTGAATAGACTTTCAAATATTTATTCAAAAAAATACAATAAATACAATAAAAATAATAATAATAAATGTACTCGTTTCAGAAATCGTTCTTATCATCGGAAAGTGATCAATTTATAATTTTTTAGCGATTTCTATATTTTATATTCTTATATTCTTTGTATATTTTATATTCTTTGCAATTATATCAGTGAAGGAGCAGTCTAAAATTCGACTTTTATGTTTTATTTTTTGCAATAATAAAATAAAAACTAAATAAAAATTAAAATTTTTATTATCTTATATTTACTAATTAGACAAATTTTATCTCAATTTCTTTCGCAAAATAAAGTAAAAATGAAAAATTAAATTTAATAAAAAAAAAATTCTTATTAACCATTTTATTAACCATTAATTCTTATTAACCATTCTCATTTTAATTCTTATTAAAATCGTTCATTTTACGCCAATGTCTTCTATTCATTCTGATAAAATTCAAGAATAAAATTTACTTGATAAGGTATCACCAATTTGCATAGTTTTTCTTCATCAAAGGACATGTTATAACCACCGTGAGATTCACTTATCAAAGGTCTAAAAGATCCAAAAGTTGAGCCACTTTTCTGATAAATATCCTGAATGTCGAATAGACGAGGAACAATAGCTTCGGAGGCTTTGTCATGTTTACCAATAACGCTACCATATCCCTAAATTTTATCTTTAACATTAATTTGAATTTCTATTATATTTCTATTAAATTTTGATTTATTTTAATCAAACTTCGTTTTAATTCGACATATCAAATTGTTATCTAAATCTACCACCTGAACATTGGGGACGATGTTACGACGACGATCAATGATACAAGTGCCAGCCATTTCAAGAGATGTTGGCGCAAACTGTCGACTGAGAAAACCGTGCGATACTTGCTCACAAGTTTTTGACATATAATCAGAATATTTAATATTCATTGTCTGTAAATTAGGAAATCCTTTTAAAAAATTTTTCAAGAAAACAATAGTACAAATTCTTTGTAAGGAATTTTTAACTGATTTTCCATGGTAGCACTTTCATTTCTTGTTATCCTCGTCTTTTCCTTCTGTATTCTTTACTTACGAATGAAGATGGATGAATGAAAACGCAAACCAGATCACCGAAAGATATAAATATCATTTGCCGAGATTTCCACTCGATTCCACTAATCTCTTAATCGTCGAAACTCAAACTTGCCTAAAGCAATAATAAAATGATAGCATACTTGGTTTCTTAAAGATCCAATAGCAGTTTCTCCACTTTGAGAGCTGATTGCTCCTAACATTATTTTCGGAATAATGCTCTCGCTTAGTCGTAACTAAAACTTTTGTTCTTGTTTATTTATTGCATCTTCTACTTGAATCAAAATAAAAAACTAAAATTATGAAGATTAAAAAATTTTAAAGCGAAAGGAAGCAATATGAATGGCTTTAGAATAAAAATATATTTTTTTATTTGCGGGAAAATTTATTTTGATAGATTTTTAAGGGAACCATGGAAACCAATTCCAGTACTTCATAATTTTTTTTAGAACCCTCACCATTACTGGTTAGACCCGTTCCGTTGGCTTATTACACTAGACTAATATGCAAAGAAGTGCTCTTGCCACAGAAATACAGGTGAATCACAAGCTCACTCGGATTTTCGTACAGGCTTACTTTTGCGGAGAATAGAACCTCAGTATTGGCTCACCGAATTGAGCAACAACCCATTAAACAATAGTTCATAATATTGCAAAACTTTTTAGAAAATACCTTAGATTCATCAAAACCATGATTGTCGATGACTTCTGAAGTATTCCTACGATACGCTCCGAATGGCAACATGCCTGATTTATTAGCTCCTTTTGCTTGAGATATTAAAGGAATGACTGTTTCTGAATGCACAACTCCCTAAAGTTTTCACATAATTTATTAAATGTAAATTTCATGAATAATTCAATTGTTGAAATGAATTATTGAAACTATGCTCCATGCACTAGTCTTAAAATTTAAATTTAAATTTTCAGTAAGTTTCAAAAATGTAAACAAGATTTATCAAAAAATATAAAGAATTTTATCGCTGAATGATAAAGCAAAAAACAAAAGGGTTTCCAGCGTTATCAAAATAAAGTGGCACCTGAACCAATGTTTTTGATCCTTGATCAATTTTTATAAGAGGATCGCGTACTTTTCCGAAAGCACCCATCCCTTCTTGAGTTTGTATCGCCGGCAAATTCTCCCATGGTATCAAAAATGGAATATACACGTCCCTAAAGTTATTAATATACAGTTGGTTATTTATAACGACTAGCCAACTTTTTACAAGGTTCAAAAACTAAAAAACTACTACAAAATTTACGAATAATTTACAAAACGCGAAGTAGCTATGGTGTTGCGGCGAGTGATTTAGAAATAGCTCATTCCAGTTCATAATGAAATCAGCCGAACCGGAAATTAGAAAAAAAGGCAAAGAGAAAGAAATTGATGGTTCCTAAAGAATAAGTAGTTTTTGAATAGTTCAAGCATTAAAAAGCCAGCAAAGAAAAATTTTCTTGAGGTCCACAGGATCTATTTAACTATAAACCTGGTCTTTTTTTCGAACTATTATATATTTTATAAGAGATATATAATTTCATATAAATCTTTTACAATTCTTTTGGTTTTTTTGCATATCGCTTTGTTGGCGGTATTTTTTCTTCTTTGAGAATATCACATAGCTTTTTTTCTTCTGGTGGAAATTCATAAGGTTCGGGTGGGGTTCGAGGTGGAGGAACCCACTTTGGCTTTTTCACTTTTACCTGAAAAACTTCACAAATGCCTTAAAATATTATCATATTACTGTGTAAAGTGTTTAAGTGTTTCTCTAAGGGATTCACTGATAATTTATGAAAAGACTCGCTCTGATGGCTTGCCAGGGCAAACAAATTTTGTTAGTGAGTCACTTGGCGGTAGGCGCCGCACGTTTTTATTTTCGTATCTTTTTTTGCAGTAATTCATTCTTCAACAAAAGTTCTTTATTCCTTCTTTTTTTTGTTTTTTTTCGCCACTTTTACGAATAATTTCCTCACCATATGTTTTGCAATTAAAATTATAATCTCAAAAAAACCGGCCAGAACCACAAGACATAAGAATGTACATTCCCAGTCTATTTCCACAATTTCTGCAAGCGTATGTGCAAGCACTCGCCATTTGGAAGAAAGCTCGGATGCAGCCTAAGCGATTAGGCAGCCCATGTTTAAAATAAGGATTTAGGGCTCTTTTAGAGAAGATATTTTAAAAGAAAAGTAAGAATATAGTAATACAATCCTTTCTAAATCGCAAATACAAATATATCATTTTGTTCTTGAAAAATATTCTTTTCTTTGAAAAGTGCTCATCAGTTTCGACCGAGCTCGCTCGGTTGGCTCGTTGGACAAATTCTTTGCCACAGAGTTGATTGACGGTGAGAAGAACGAATGGGTCACCAAGAGTGCGTGGATTTTTGAAAGATAAGTTTATTTCTCTCGGAGTGGACGCTCAGCATCGGCGTTTGCCAACTATTTAACCCCAAAAATATTTCTCCATAATAGTTTAAAATATCGTAAAAATGACAGAAATGTTTTTTGGTTTGCACAACTCACCGGTTTTCGCTTTCTTTTTTTCTTCACTGGTAGTTCATTTTCTTCATCCTCGAATTCCTCGGGCTTATTATCATCATTAACCAGCTAAATAATTGCGTTTTCCGTTTATATTAATTGCGGTATCTCAGGAAAATAGTAAATTTTTGGCACTAATCATTTCCAGTTAGGCTTGCTAATCATTCATTGGCTGTTACTAGGATGCAATATTTAAACCGGGAATCATTTGGAGAAGCAGATAAGATTATACGATTGTATTATTTAGATTCTTGGATGACAGGCTTGCAGCTAGAGGCAGAAATAAAATCACAATAAGGGAAACGATAAAAAACTCGGTTGCATTACCTCAACTAGGACAAAGGACAAATTTTTAATTTTTAAATGTACTAAATGTGCTTGTTAATGGATAGTTTAACTATAAAAAACTTTCAAAACATTCTAAAAAAACTCGTTTCATTTGTTTTGATAAATTCTTACATCATCTGAATCATTTGGAAGATCTAAGCAGAAGTCAGCATCTGGATCAGTATCACCGATTGCCGGTCGCACCTTTAAAGGCCCTCTCTGAAGAGGTTTTGGCTTCAATTTAATATCGGGTTGATTTTCGTCAGGCGATAACACCAGCTCATCGTCAACGTTAGGCTCACCTTCGGCGTCTTCATCCTTTGGTTTTTTTAATCCTTTTGGTTTTGCTTTCGGTAGCGGTAAACTGGCATCAGCACTGGGCTCGATGTCACCTTCAGTTGGTTTTATTTTTAGAGGCTTCTTTTGAGGAGATTTTGGATCCTTAA